CCCTCAGCCACCAAGGAGGCCCTCCTAGATATATTTGAGCCTCTAGTTTCTCCTTCTCCAATTCCAGCATTCTTATGTCACCATTTTATTATTTCATCTGCTTATTCTTAAAGACCATCAGGTAGCTGAACTTCTAAAGTCCAAGACTTCAAATCTAAATTTCTCATTCTACAATCAAGACTGTATAAGTTGACCCCCCAAATTAACCCATCTATAATCCTTTACCCATCAAGTACATTTAAATACTTCAGACACAATATACTAGACATCAGTATTCACTGTATTTGTACAGTACTTCTGTTTCTTGGTTTGTTTTTTTTTAAAGATTTATTTATTTGTGCATACAGACTAGGGTACAGGCCAGAGGTGTAGGGGCGGTGCTCCCATGTATATACATTTTGATTCTTACATCAATGGGGTCAGAACTGAGGTGTGGAATTTTGTGACTTGTCAAAATCACATAGTAGCTATTGTTTACTAAGTGCTTGTCAAGTACCAAATTATTGACAATCAATTGAAATTGTATTATTATTGCCCACTGAAACCTATTAAATACACAGGGTCTAAGGAATTAAATAACATGCTCATGACCATACAACTACTAATTAGTGGGAAAAGAGGTGAGATTCAAATCCAAACTGTTACGCTGAAACTCACAATCTATCAATCTCCAGTTAGGTCTCCAGTTTGGTTCTGATCCTCAGTGCCAAGAACAAAGTTATTTCTTCCTTTCTAATCCAACTGACCTGACTTATTAAGAGATCATACAAGTACTTACAGAGTAAGTACTCAAACATTTAACTTTTTAAAGAAAACCCCACATGTAATTTACACATAACCTTAATTCAAGCACCTCTGCCTTAACCTCACACTACACCCCACTGATACATTTCAAGTAATAAATTTTTCTATTGCCACTCACACATAAACAATGAAGTACATAGAAATTCCTTTTCATACAAGATGTCTAAAACAGTTACAAAATTTTCTTGCTGTCCAAGTGGTACCTAATCAAATGGCTATTCTACTAACTTGTCTACTCAAAAGACACCTCAGTAACATCTTCCCTAACCAATTTTACCTAAATTCTAAAAACAGACTTCCCTTTCTTTTTCCTTAACATCTGTCACTATCTTACATGTTATGCTTTATTATCTGCATAGTTTTTTTAGTATTTTTACCATTAAAATATCATACTAAAGACAAGTTTTTTAAAAGTCAACTCAAATATTCCTTTTGGTTTTGAAGACAACATACATTCCAGACTTTAGCTTTAAGCAGAAAGAAATCAACACGTTCATCAGTGTATATCATCCATATAAAATAATGCTGTTTTTATTTTTGGAAGAGAAAAAGATCACTGTCACCACCTCATAGAAGGATAACCTCGAAATAACAGTCCTTTAAATTCCTTTGAATAAATTTAGTGTCACAGAATAGAGTGGTGAGAGCATAGTAAATAATCATAAGGAACTTTAATTCTAGCCTCATCTAAGCAGCTTGCCAGAGAACCATGCTTAATTTAAGATTTAACAAGAGTTACTTACAGAAAGGCCTATTTTGCATTTCTGACAAGAGAAGCTTTTATTACTTTCAAGAAATGTTAAGAGGTCTGAGATTTTACCCTACTTGTATCTAACAATTTATCCTGCCACAGTTTCACAAACCTCCTAGGTCAGAGACAAAGAACTTTATTACTCATGGCAACATCAATGCTAAAGTCAGCTTTTGTGTCAGTTCTCTGAACTCCAGTTCCCATTGGGTAACATAAAGAGGGTCAGGTGACAATTATACCTATAGTGGTTTTTACCACAGGAGAGGAACCCTGAGCTTAAAGAACCCAGACCTTTTATAGTGGGAAACAAGCCTGTTACTTGTTCTGGAGGGTGATGTCATCCTTATTATAAACTAAGCAAACATGCTTGAGAGAGAAACATTATTCTAATTATACTGAACAGTAAGTATACCTGTCCTTTGTTCTACAGAAAAATAAGGCTGACCACTACATAATCACTCTTGAAAAAAGTCAGTACTTTGATTCCAAGATGTACACAATATACACTCAGCATATATTGTGTACAAAGCACCTTTTTAAAAGTGAGTGGGCGGTGCTGGAACAGACACAGAAGCTGTCATCAAGAAGTACAGATGAGGGCCTTCCCTGGTAGTGCAGTGGGTTAAAGTGCAGCACTATGAAGCTATCTGACCCATATGGCATGGCAGTGCTCTCCATCTTGCTCGCTGTTCCCTCAGCAGTATGTTTCAGTACATCTGCCTGTTCTGCTCCCCACTCTGTCTCTGGTGAATCCTCTCACACCCCCGCCCCCTGAATCTCTGGCCTATAGCCAGTTCCCTACATGCATCAATAAAATCAAATCTTAAAAAAAAAAAAAAAGTACAGATGAAGTACACACACATTATCTGGGATCAATGGAAAAGTAAAACACAAAAATGTTGGGCATTCAAAGAATGTGACTTCTAGCTGAAGGCACTAGTAGAGTTTAGAAGAAAAGCAAATATGACAAATCAAAGAAAGGCAGAAAGAGTACAAGTCACTGTAATCACAGAAGGGTAGTAGGTGGTTGAAAATAATGCTAACCTATAATTTCAGTATAGAAGGAATTAGTTATCAAAAAGAATGTCAAAATAAATAATTAAGAAAGATAAATTAAGGTGGTCATAGATGAGTGTTGAGTATCAAGCCTATATTTTGATTTTTTTTAAAGATTTATTTATTTATACACACAGAACTGGGGTACAGGCCAAAGGTGCAGGGGTGTGTGTGTCACAGGATTCATCAGAGACAGAGTGGGGAGCAGAAAAGATGTACTAAAATACCCAGTCAGGAGAGGTCTGCTATGCCATGTGGGTCACGTCCCTGGCACGGTATCGAATTCGTGCTTCAGTGGCTGCGGACAGCTTTACAGTACTGTGCTTTAACCCAATGAGCTACCAAGGAGGGTCCTATTTTGATGTTTTTAGAAAAAGGTAAGTCACTGAAAATTTTGGGGAAATGACATGAGGTTATCAAAGCAAATATTTATGAATATTAATCTGCCTCAGTGGCTTGAGATCGTCTCTAATTAGCCAGTTCTTGACTGAATATTTTCATAAAAATCACTAGTGGAATTTTAAAATACCCAAGCCCCACCCTAGAGATGTTGATTCAACAGGTCTGCATGGAGCCCAACAATGTTCATTTTAAAAGTTCCACAAGTAATTATATTGCATACATGGAGTGGAGAGCTACTGTTAAGTAATCAACATGATAATACCCTACTCTTGTTATGAACTTTTCTGTACTAAGTAGTGTACACAGAATAAACTACTCAAGAATGTGAGAAGGAACCAGAAATGAAACTCACAGCTGTTAATAAATCTTTTCCTCCTAGACATTAAAACTAAAAAGGTGAATTCAACAACAGTGAATCCAAGCGATAGAAGACAGAACATTTAAGCTTGAAGTGACATAGGGGAGAAAAATGAAGGCTCCAAATATTCTTTAGTCTAAGCTTGCCAAAGATGGGATTAGAAGGGATAAGTAATACATAAGCAGTATTTGCTTATGTATTACTTATAAACCTTAAAAAACTAAGACAGTTGCTTTGCAAATATTCCTACTGTTCATCTTAGCTGTGGCTGTAACATAATATTATCCAAATCTAACATATAAGAGAATAAAGTGGCATTAAATTTACCAATTCGTAACTTAAAAGCAAAATCACTTAGCTTGGATTCAAAATACA